ATCCTATTTTTCAATTTCAATTGGGGCTATGGAAAATCAAGTTGACGATACATGGACGAGATCAGCTAGAGATGCAAGAGAAATGAGAAAATGAATACTTCAACAAAAAAGATAGAAAAGGTACGGACTTTAAATATTGTTTTATCTTAATACATTTAATTATGTTTTATTGTTTTAAGGTAATTTGATGCATAACATTTTTGAATTATTTAAAATAACAAAATGAAATGGGATATGTTAGTGACCAGAATTTTTGTATTTAAAATTTATATGGTTGCTTTTTAATGAGCTTTGAAAAATTTTCTTATCTTCATATATAAATCGTTAGTATAGATAAATTAATTTATGTTAAATAAAAAAAGTTTTATACAAAATTTAATATTAGATGTCAATTTTAGAAGGATTTAACAAATTCTCCATCTGAAAATGAACACTCCAAGAAAAGATAAAAATATATGTTTAGTCATGTTATTTTATAGTCATGTTATTTTATCAATTATAATCTTCATCCGTAAAAAAATTAAACGTCGTTCATAGGTTGCATAGAAATCATGGATAATTAAAATGTATAATTGTTGATTTATCTAGGTATGCATATAGCTCAATGATTATTTTTTATCAATTTTATATTTACATCAATAGGAATAAAATGATGTCTAACCATGACTCTTTAATTTCATTTTTCTATATTTTTTATGAAAAAAAATATTTATACATATTGAATATTTTAAACAATTGAATGGACGAATATTAACAAAGTTGAGTAAAAACATATTCGTATTTAAAATCTTTTAAATAAAATTCAAAACTTTGCAATAAATTTGATATGAAATGAGTGAATATAAAAAAATGTGAGTACATATTTTAAAACAAAATGACATGCATGCGAGGAAAAAAAATAGGCATTGATACGGAATGATCAATGTAAATAATTCAAAGTTCAAATATAATTTTTAAATTGGAAAATTTACTTATATCTAACACGTAATTCATTTATCAAAATGGCAACTAAGCTGTGTTCAATTGAAATAATTGATACTCCATATATATATATATATTCATAGTCAGAGGAATTTACCTAAATAACACTAAAACATAATGACTTTTCCTAAATAGCAACATATGTTTTTTATTTCCCAATGTAGCACTTTTAGTCATTATCCATTAGTCATTATTTAGACAAATGTTCACCGTCACAGGATATTATTTCTCCTTCTAGACATTATTAAGTGTTATTTGAGGGATAAAAAGTTTAAGTCTTATTTTGGGAAATGACTTTTGTTTTAGTGTTATTTGGTGGAGATATGAAAAATAAAAAAAATTGAAAAATTATATTGGGAAAAAGTTTGAAAAATGAAAAATGGAAAATTTGAAAAATGAAAAATGAAAAATTTGAAAAAGTTTAAGTCTTATATTGGGAAATTACTTATGTTTGAAAATATGAAAAATTATTCTTTTATGAGGATAAAGCACTATTGGCACCAACTCTCGAAGTAGTTGAAATGATAAATGAATTTGTTTTGTCCCTCATTCCTGGTGATGAAAAAGAGTACTTGAGTTCTGATTCTTCGTGCCAAGCAGAAGCAGATGTAGGTGTTGATGACGATTGGATAACACTTGAGTTTTAATTTTGACGAAATCAAATGTTTGGGAATCCCAAACCACAAAATAGTCTTGAAAAAAGGGGTACCGATTATGCTATTGAGGAACATTGACCAAACATCTGGATTGTATAATGGGACAAAATTATTCGTTCAATAGTTGCGAAATAATGTTATCGGTGCAATTGTGGTTTCGGGAAATCGAGTCGGAGAAAAAGTTTACATCCCTAGAATGAATTTGGTACCATCTGATCTAGGGCTACCCTTAAAGTTCCAAAGAAGATAATTCTCGATCACCTCATGTTTTGCTATAACAATCAACAAAAGTCAATGTCAAACATTGTCATTTGTGGGATTATTTTTAACCAAGTCAATGTTCAAACATGTTCAACTATATTTTGTTGTTTCACGAGTGAAGACAAAGACCGGATTAAAAATGTTAGTTCTAGATGACAATAGAAACCCTTGCAATCATACCAAAAATGTTGTATACCCTGAAATCTTTCAGAAAATTTGGTATTAAAATAAACATTGTTAACTCTATATTCTGTTCCTAAAATATTATTTATTTTACTTTGGCTTTTTTCATTTGTTGTATTAAAGATCATGTGAGCAATATATTTACTTTATTCTGAAAAATAAAATTTTCATTAAAATAAATTCCGAATCGACATAAATTTCTTTCGATCCCGTGCATGGCACGGGTCAAAATACTAGTGTGTGTATATATATATATATATATATATATATATATATATATATATATATATTTATATATAGGGGCCGGTTCAGGTGAGAATGCACCTTGGTGAAAGAAATAGGAATAAAATCTAGCCTTTGGATCTGATGCATCGTGCGGCTCAGATTGCATCCTCCACTTAGATTTTGACATTGTGCATTTTTAAAGGATTTTGGTGCATTTCGACAGGATGCATTTTCAAACCATTTTGGTGCACCTAATTTTGATGCAATCTTGACCCTTAGATCTCACAATCTAAAGCACCAAATTCATTCTTATTTCTTTTATAAGATCACATTCTCACTAGAACCAATATATATATATATATATATATATATATATATATATATATAAACACATACATAATTACATATAGACACACACAATTTCTCATTTATAAATATCTAAAGAAAGTAATTTATAACATTTGACTAAAATTATATTAATATACTTGAGTTTTTTACTAAGTTAAAAAATAAAATTTACATATTAAAAAAAGATTATTAAATAAAAATTTTATAAATAAAGAGTTGATTTTATTTTTTTTCAAATAAGTTGTTTAATATTAAAAAACTCAAATGAAATCTTTGCATTATATGCATTTTGAAATAATATCAATAATATCAATGATTTTGTGTTTGACTCATTGCTATATAATATTATGTTTTTAAAATTAAAAATGAATTTTTATACAATCTTTTTTTTTTTAAATTATGAAATATTATAAAAGATTAAGTAAATTTGTAACAAAAAACACTCTTGCCTGGATGGTTAGGAACTCAGTCAAATGTCTATGAGGTCTAAGGTTCAAACCCCCATGGTTGTATGTTTTGGGAAAAATACAAAAAAAAAAAAAAAAAATTGGTTCGACCGGCCGGTTCACACCGTTTTCACCGGTTCACACTGGTTCACGCCGGTTCGCAGCATCTTATGGCCCAAAGGGCCGGACCGGACCGGTTGGACCACCGGTTCGCCGGTTCACGATCCGAACCGGCACACATCAAAATCCTTTTGGCAGAGGATTGTGAATTACAAATTGCGGGTTACGAAGTAAAATTTTCTACTTTTTGAAATCATTTTATTAACAAATTGGTATATCAATAAGATATAAAAATTAAATATTAAAAAAACTACGTCAAAAGTTCTACAAAACAAGAGGTGACAAGAATATTTTATTTTATCAAATACTTAATAAAATCGCGTAAACAAACAAAAGTTATCGAGAGGAGAGAGAAAATAAAATTGTAATCTATTTAGGGACGGAGGGAGTAAGAGTAATATATCTGCCATATTTAACAGTATTTTTTTTTCAAAATTTTTTAAAAAATAAACAAAGGCATCAGTTTTCCTAGACAACTGATGTTAAAAGTAGGGGTGAGCAAGTACAGAACCGATACTGAAATTTCCCGAAAAAACTGAGAATACCGAACCGAAAAAATACTGAGAAGGAACCGAACCATACCGGACCGAATGGTCGGTACGGTATTTGGGAACGGTACGAGGGGACGTCCCATACCGAAAATCCCGAACCGAACATATATACTAAAATATGATAAAAAATAATATCCCGGAGTAATATTTTTATATTCCTTCACTAAAAATACTCTGGGTAATTTTTTTTAAAAAAATTGGTTCAAGTAAGTTTTTGTGTATGAACATAAAAGTATTTACAAAAATTTGAAATACTCCTTTATTGTCGTTCATTTTTATAGTTTGTGAAATATAAACTAAGTTTTGATACACATCTCTTGCATTTAAATATTCATGTTTTTAATTTTCATGTTTTTTTGTTTAAATTCACTTTTTAATTTTAAAAAATAAAAGGGTATTGTTAAATTTTAACGTGTAAAGTAGGTATGTATATTCATTCCGATTTGTACCAAAACCGATACCGAACCATCACGAACTATATCGAACCGATATTTCGGGATCGGGATCGAGATCGATACGGGGTAAAATCCCATACCAAACCGAAATATTTGGTACGATATCGGTACGAGCTAAATACCGTACCATATCGTACCATGCTCATCCCTAGTTAAAAGGGTTTTTTTGGAATTGTTTAAATATGACATAGGAATTGGTGTTTGTGAATAACTGATGCCATAGCCTTTGCGCTTTTGGGGATCTAATTTGATGTCGTCTGCCCTCCCTCTCTATTCTTCGATCTCCGTCGCTATCTCTGCTCTGATCTCCGTCTCAAAGTCGATCACTGCCAGAGCCAATCTACATTGTCGTCTCTACTCTTCGTCTCAAAGTCCTCTTTATGCCCACGAACACCTGATTCACCACCGCCTTCTCCGCCCTCTCCACCATCTCCCGGTACTCCACAACCATCTTCTCCGGGTACCCTGTCTAAATGGGCCATCGTGTCCCAGAGCTTTTTCCTCTCTACAAGGTTTTTTCCTAACGTCCAGCTTTGTTTGGTACTCCACCACCATCGACGTCCAGCTGGTGCAGTCAGACAAACTGCAGCGACCTCTCTACGAGGTATTTTCCCAATTTTTCATTTACTCTTTGAATTTATATGTGTGAATTTGTACACGTTATTCCCTATTCTTTGAATTTGTATATTGACCTTGGCGTCAAGACCTGGAATTGCGACCAATCTACTGTGGTTTGACCGGACTTGAGATGATAGAAGTTTGGAGTTAGTTAAACCTAAAAGAGAAGAAACAAAGGAAAAAGAAACATTTGACCGTATTTACCTCGACAAATCAGAAATTTGTTGCGTTTTAAATTGATTTTTTGATATTGTATGTGGATGCTATACATTGACACACTTTAACATTATAAATTATATTTTTACGTAAAACATTGAAAATATTAGTTTGATATATGAAAGGTAATGAAACATATTTTAGTCATGCGATTATTCCATTATTTGCCAAAGTGAGACACTAATTTTTTTGAATCTTTTTGCAACCATGGCCAAACATGCTCTGCTCCTCTTACAATTTCTTAAATGTGTCTGTTTGCCATTTGTAACCCTTATGTCGGATAGTTCTTGTTGTATCTAATGCTCTTGCCTTTCTTTTTAGTCCAGCATAAATGATACTTCATCTATTGAAGAAGAACCGACTCCCACAAAACCTGGTTAGATTTTCTTAGAAAACGTATTTTCTAAGATCTTTACTTCATATATTGAAGAAGAACTCACTTCTAGTAAACATTGTTTTTTTGGATGGTATGCGCCAATGCCCAAGGATGGGAATAATGACCCATAATCCGCTACAGCTTCAAGTATAAATTGCATAAACATACAAATAATGTATAAATTGTATTATTGAACTGTTTTCCACTTGGGAGCATGGATTACTATGAACTTCAATGGATAAAATGTGTGATATAAGCTATGATTTGCATATTGCATATTGGTGCGGGTTTAATCATTTTGCTTGATATGGACATAAATTCTATGAAAAAAATTCAAGCTTTAATGTCTTCTTAATCTAAAAAATGTTTTATTTTGCACACATTTATTATTCTACAGAGTAATATAACAACAACAAACCCATCAAAATTCTATGGAGTAGGGTGTAGCTAGTTGCTTAGAGAAAATAAAAAGCTTTTGTTATTTAGATTATACAATCCTGCATCAGAAAATTAACAAAAATGAGTAAATAAGATTTTGATCTGAACTAATAATTAATACAATTCAATCTTTTAGTGTGGATTGACTGACCCAATGGTACTAGAGAAGGTTTTGGACAACCGTATTTGTACAGATGGGCATTTAGAAGTCTAACCCTATCGACATGCGGCCATTTCCACATAGTTGTCTGACTAAAATGATTAATATTGAAGAATGAATATTTTCGATAAAGAAACGTGTAGGAGTACAACCGTATATATACAGGACGAGACTCCTAATACAAGTAAGGAAACCTATACAAAAGGTAACTACCAATAATACAATGATATAATAATAAATACATTAAATATACTTAACATAAATATATATGGTAAATATATTTAACATGCTCCCGGCTACGTCGGATGCAGTGGAGGACGAATCCCTAGGCTTGTGCGAAAATCCAGGAAGAGAACTGAGGGGAGTCCTTTAGTGAATATATCAGCATACTGAGAGGAGGAGGGAACATGAAGAACTACGTCGGATGCAGTGGAGGACGAATCCCTAGGCTTGTGCGAAAATCCAGGAAGAGAACTCAGATATGTCCTAGTGCGACCTTATCTCGAACAAAGTGAATATCTACCTCAACGTGTTTGGTGCGCTAGTGCTTACTGGATTAGTGGAGAGGTAGACTGCACTAACATTATCGCAAAAGACAAGAGTGGCACGCTGCAAGGGATGTCGTAGCTCAAGAAGGAGGTTCCAAATCCAACTGGCCTCAGCGACAGCGTTGGCGACGACACGGTACTCAGCTTTGGCACTGGAGCGAGAGGTGGTGGCTTGCCGCTTGGAGGACCAGGAGACGAGATTATCACCGAGTAAAACACAGTAACCAGATGTGGAGCGTCTGGTGTTTGGGCAGCCAGCCCAATCTGCATCTGAGTAGGCTGTAGGCCTGTAGTATGTCCGTGCGAGAGGGGGTGAGTGAGATGCCCAAAGTGGCGGTGCCACAGAGATAGCAGAGAACCCACTTCATAGCTGTCATATGCGCCTCTCGTGGAGCATGTAGATGGAAGCAAAGCTGCTGTACTGCATAAGTAATATCTGGTCGTGTAAACGTGAGGTACTGCAGGGCTCCAACAATGGAGCGGTAAAGAGAGGGATCAGAGGCAGCTGGCCTATCAGTGGCTGAGAGTTTCGACTTAGTATCAACTGGGGTGGAGATGGGGGGGTGGAGATGGGGCGGCAGGTGACCATCCCAGCACGCTCAAGAATGTCATGAGTGAACTGTGTCTGATGGAGAAAAAGTCCACGGGAGGTGCAATGTACATTGATGCCCAAGAAGAACTGTAGATCCCCCATATCGGTCATGGCGAACTCCCCCTTAAGGTGCTGAGTGAGATGCTTTATCTGAAGATGCTGTGAGAACAATGTCGTCGACATAGAGGAGTAGATAAGCTGTGTCCGGCCCCTGAGTGAACACAAAAAGAGACGTGTCCGTTTTGCAGCTACGGAAACCAATGGTCTGAATGAAACCTGCAAATTGACAGTACCACGATTTGGGAGCCTGTTTGAGACCATATAAGGCCTTCTTGAGCTTGCATACATAGTGAGGCCTGGCCGGGTCCTGAAAACCTGAGGGCTTAGTGGCGTAAACAGTCTCCTGTAGGTACCCGTGAAGAAAAGCATTTTTGACGTCCAGCTGATGAATGGGCCATCCCTGAGGAAGAGCTATACTCAACACAATACGTACCGTAGCCGGTTTTATGACCGGGCTGAACGTCTCATCATAATCCACACCGAATCTCTTGTTAAAACCGTGAACAACCCATCGGGCTTTGTACCTGTATAACTCACCTGTGGGGCCAAGTTTATGTCGGAAAAGCCATTTACCGGTTATGATGTTTTGGTGGGGGGAAGGGGGTACTAGTTCCCATGTGTCATTCTTAATCAAAGCATTAAATTCATCTATCATAGCAGCATGCCAGTTTGGATCTTTAAGAGCACTACGGTAAGTGGGGGGTAA